ATGTGAATTTTCCCATTCTTAAAAAATCTGGTAGGTTTTCTTCTAGTACTTCTTCCACAATCTTCTCAGTGATATTCCTGTCACTCCATGTTCTGGAATTCCAATTATACGTATGTTATTCTGTTTTATGTCATTCCTCATAATTCTAATGTTTTCTTCATTTTCTTTACATCTCATCTCTGATTTTTCTTCAAGTATGTTTCTAGTGAGGTTCTTGTTTTTCAGCTCAGTGCTTCTTTGTTCCATCTCTTCAGTTCTATGTTTTTGTCCTACCAGTGTGTTGGACACTTCTGCCATTTCTGTCTTAATATTCTGGATTGCATTTTTATCCTTTTCTGTAATTTCCAGTACTGTATTAGCTGTACCCTCTCTTATGATGATTTTTAAATTCCTTGTAACTTTTTGTCTATTCTATCATTTTTTTTTCTTCCATCTTTTGTATTTTCATTCATATCTGTTCAAGTTTCTCCTCATCCATATATTTCTTCTGGACTATTGTCTCTGAAGTATTTGCTCTCTTATTGCCTTCAATTGTTTCTTCCTACATTTGTGTCTTTTTCTGTAGCTGATCAAATAACTCTACATGAACATATTTCTTCTGATTCTCTCTATCCGGGGAATTCATTGGTTCTGCTTTTTTAGGAGAAAGGTTATTTTGTTTTTTCATAATGGTTGATGTGGATTGCTGCTTTCTTGACAGTATGGGAGTATTTTCTTAGTAGATATTGGGTTGTTAGGGTACAGCAATGCTTTGTGAAGCACTTACATATTTGTGTTCCTTCTTGACCTGAGGCCTGCAAGACCTAGGGTCTGACAGAGTTTTTCCCCCGAAGTACCTGAACGACAAAGGAAGAAGCATGTTGTTCTGTGCTGGAAGTGGCTTCTCACCTACATCAAGATGCCCAGGAACTCTCTGTTGCTTGAGTTAAAGAATCCTGTGTGGTCAAGCTAGAACAGCAGTTGCCGCACCCCCAAAGTACCTTAATGACCAAGGAGGAAGTCTGTTGCTCCTTTCCGGAAGTGGCTTCTTGCCTCCATTGAGGTACCCAGGACCCCCCTCCCCCCATTGCTTGAGTTTAGGGATCAAATGTTGTCAATCTAGATGGCAGTTTTCCCCCCAAGTAACTGTGGGAGCAGTGCTGGCAGCGCTGACACACATCTTTCTTGATTTTAATCATGCAGAGGTTCCTTGCTTTCTTCATGCAACAGCTTCTGGGTCTATTCTATTCTTCTCAGTGATGATCAACACAGTCAAATGCCTTTGCATACAGTTAATTTATACAGATAAGCATTCGTCTAGTACTCTCCGCTTTCAGCCAGGATCCATCTGACATCAGCAATGATAAACCTGGTGCCATGGTCTCTTCTAAACTCAGCTGGAATTGGCTTTTCTCTGTCAGTGAATTCTTCTAGCCATTTTGTGATGATTTTAGCAATATTTTACTTGTTACAAGGGACTACTCCTTGGAAAAGATAACATGCTTGAAAAAGTGAAGGGTTAGAGAAAAAGAAGAAGACTCAATTAGATGAATTGATATAGAGATGGCAGAAATAGGCATTTCAAACCACCCACTGCAGGGTCAGCTAGGAGTTGCTTCTAGCTCTTGGCAATAAGTGGGTACATATAAGTTAATTTTTATATGATACTGTGGTCTCTTCAATGTACAACATCATTATTAAAATGATGAAAATATTGAGAGAAATACCAAAATGTGACAACCAGTGGCTCAAAGGAAGTGCAATCAGGTTTAAAGTCTTAAATACAAGACTGTATCTATACAGAAGACTGGCCTATTACTGAGTAAGCCTTTTGCTAAAACATAAAGTATTTGCCAGAGGTCTCAGGCAGCCCACTGAGTCTCTAAGAGGGTCAGGGAGAGTATCTAACAAGTGAGTTTATTCTGGAAAAACTCCAAAGACACTTCTTGGTACAGATACCAGAAAGTTGTCAGTGCCTGGTAGAATCATGGTAAGAAAGTGTGCTACAGTCTCAAAGGCACACGGTTTGAATCTACTAACTGCTCCACAGGAGAAAGACAGACAATCTCTTCCGGTGTCATTTACTGCCTCTCAAAATCTGCTGGAGGGTCAGCTACAGGTTGGTTCCAATTTGATGGCACACAACACAATAATAAGCCCTTTCTTCCAAAGAGCTACTGGATGGACTTGAACCTCAGTCAGTAGCTATCCCCTTGCACCACACAGGGACTCCTCCTAAATAACAATACTGGTAAAAGATATGTTGCTATAACCACAGAGTAAATGAAAGTTTCTAATGTAAAAAAAACAAAATAAAGCAAACTTCTCAACCCCTATTGGAAAAGTGACTCTCAGTCAAGAAAACACTTGATTTACCATGAAATTTAAATGGAAAAGAATCAGAGCACGTTTATAAGCCATTCCAGGAAACATTTGTATGAAACGGAAATTCAAAATAACCCAAAACAGGTTAGCAGTTTTTGTGACAGACAAGAAACAAATACATGTTTCATAATAGTAAAATCTGTTGCCCATGATCTTTTGATCCAAGTGGTAAACAGCTGTGCTTCATTCAAAGATGGCAACTAAGATGTGCCTTTGATTGTACGTTAGTTTGCAGAATCTTGTCAGTAATGTTGCTTTCAAAAGTCCTGCCACATTCTTCACCCTGATAAAGTATCAGGGGCCCTGATGCAGGAGTTTGGTTTACTGGCAGGACCCTGCACAGCAACACACACTCAAAATTGCTCTGTCAGTCCCACCTATGAGCAGGGCCAGGACTGTGCCATTGGCATGTTGTTTGTTGTTAAGTGCCATCTAGTCATAGGCAACTCATAGCGACCCTATGAACAAAAGTCGTCAACACTTGTCTGACTTTCATCCTTTCTCCTGGTTCATAGGGATTCCAGACGCAAGCTATTTCAGAACTGGATTCCACTCCTGCTTTCAAGTTTGTTTTAATCAGGGAGCTCCACCAAACACTGTCCGCCATGGGTAACCATTAACACATTTGACACAGCGTCACAGTGTTCAGCTTCACAGCAAACACAAGTTACCTCTGTATGGCAAGTGGACACATCAGGGCAATACGACCTAGAAGAATGTTTGAACAAAAACAATGAAAAACAGGCCTGAGGGCCACAGATTCAAAGTCACTCACCTTTGGATTGGTAACACTACTTTCTGTCCACTAGGCTAACTGATCACTCTCTATGTTGATGTTATTGTTGTTAAGTGCCGTCAAGTCGTAGGCAACTCATAGAGACCCTATGAACAAAAGTCTTCAACACTAGTATGACTTTCATCCTTTCACCAGGTTCATAGGGTTTCCAGAGGTGAGCTATTTCGGAAGTGGATGCCACTCCATTTACTCTTCCATTTTGGTTTAATGTTATTGCAAATTTATCTCTGACATGATGGATAATATGAAGTATTTTCACTACTCTATTTCAAATTTGATGAAGTCAGTGTGCTGAGAGTATCAAATAGTTTCTTTATGCAAGGAGCATCCTCACTTTGGAGTTTACCACTTTTTCAACTCACGGGTTATCTCTGACAGTCACAACCTCCTCTTTGAATTCCTTCAAGGCCCCCTCTCCTGGGCAATTACTGAAGCAATTATCTTGGCTAATGCAGCTTGTTTAGCAGGACAGTCACCTAAGGCCTGGTTGTGAGATTCTGGGTACTGGCACATCAAATTGTGTTCTATTTTGGTCAAACTGTTTCCTTAAGTAGCAGCAAAACAACTTAAAGTTTTTATGAGTTTTCAGCATTCTATTTTCATAAGTTCTTGTCAATGGTAGAAAATTCTTTGTTTCAAGCAAATACAAAACCCATTGATCTCCAGTCAGTTCTGATTCACAGAAAACTTCCACGTATTCCTGTTTTGTGAACTGTCCCAAACTGGGAAGAACATCATGATAAATGGAGAAGAGATAGATATTGTGACTTTATCCTGCTTGAATCCACTGTACATACTCTTGATATCAGCAGCCAGGAAATGAAAAACCATATTGTATTGTGAAAGTCTACTTTTAAGGACATCCTCAAAGTGCTAAAGAGCAAAGATGTTAGTGTCAAAAGTAAGGTGTGCCCGATTCAAACCATAGTCTTTTCAATCACTTTATTTGAATCCTACAGTTGTACAATGAATAAAGATGACAAAAGAAGAAACCATGCTTTTGCGTTGTAGTGCTGGAGAAGAGTGCTGAATATCTTACGTGTCTTGGAAAAGATGCTCCTTGGAAGCAAGGATAAAAGAAACTTTGCCTGGCATACTTTGAGCATGTTGGAGGGTTAATGTAGAAGAGAATACCCTCAGCAAGATGGACTTACAGAGAGATTGTAACGGTGGTCTCAAGTGTATCAGATGATTAGGATGCCACTGGACAGGGTACGATTCAAATCTACTTTTCATGGGCCTTACTCAAAGGGACTTGACAACAGTAACATCTACAAACCCCAAAACAAATTCACTATTAGTAAGAGCTTACTTCTTCTTGACGATTGGCAGACATGTATGAGAAAACTTGTGTTTTCTAGTGTTGTTACTAGGGTGTCACTGAGTCAAGTAAAACTCAAAGTGATCCTCTAGGCTGTTCTATCCTGTGTTATCTTTTTTATCTCTGACATATTTTAAGCTCATTGCAGCAATCACTGTCAATCCATCTGTTGAAGGTTTTCCTCTCTTTCCAGTGCAGAACAACAGTAACAGGCATTTTATGTAAGCAAAACGATGTATCTTTTTGCTTCCTGATTTATCTCACATAGCATAATGATTTTAAGGTTCATGCATACTATAACATGTCCAGAACTCTTTCCTTTATTCTGGATTAAAACTACTGCAACGCATCTATCGAGTTTTGTTTGTCTATTTTTCTAATGGTAGACCTTTGGATTAGTTCCATCCTTTGGCTTTTGTAAATAACATTGCTGTAAATATTTGTGTACAAGTCTATTTGAGTTCTTGCTTTCATTGTCTGATACATATACCAATGATTGATATTCTTTTTTTATTTTCCAAATCAGTTTATTAATAATCCTGATAGCTGGCATTATTTGGTTTAATAAAAACCACATAAAATTAGCCAATCATCTAAATTAGCTACATGTACAAAAGATATACAAATTAAAACCATTTTAAAAATAGATACCATAATTTTGTAATTGACCACCATATTTGTATTCAGAAATTATTTGTAAAAACTAAAACCAAATAAAAACTGTACATCATATACTTTGAGTGATTTACATCTTGGAAAACAAAAGCAGTCTCTTCACTTTCACACATTTAATGTATCTGGAGGGTTGAGGAGAGAAACACCATGATACTTGGAATTTTTGTATTTTTCTCTTACTGACTGCTGTGCGTGCTGTGGTGCTCTGAGGTAGGTCTGATGAAGGTCTATGAGACAAGGCTTAAGACTTTCTAGGGTATATCCAGTCTTCTGTACTAAAGAATCAGGCCAGCTCTGTCCCCTGACTGTGTAGAGTGCTATACGAAAGGCTGCAGCAGCAACAACTGACGGTAAATACTTCAGGTATGGATCAGCATCTATCAAACTTAATTCTCCCGGAAACATGGCTAGACTTTCAACTTTGCAGTCCGCTGACTGCTGATGTAGAAAGTATCGAGTAAGAAACTGATTTATTGTTGGTGCTGCTAAATCAAAAACAAGGACCTTCAAAACTAAATGTTCCATTCTCAGAACTTGTTTCTTGGTATAGGTGTCATCTGTAATGTATACAAATTCTGCTACTTCTGGAGGATATATTTCTTCAAACTTTGAGGCTAAAAGCATAGCAGCAGTGCCCACAAGCTGAAGTTTTTCTCTCAATACAGACATCGATGAAAGGAATCTGTCAATGTAGTTTACAGCCAAGTACAACGTCTCATTCTGTAGCTTATATTCTTCTCCTACTTCCACTAACCAGTCCACAAGGATAGCCCTCATACTGTTAGTGATGTCTGGTTGCTTCTTCATGTAACCCACTTTAGGTTTACATTTAACCTCCATTTCTCTAAGGTA